GGATTTTGTTGTTAACTTCCAGCAAGTTAGTTTGGACTTGGTGACTCTACGAATGGGAGACCAAGACGCCACTTATGAACAGGTCTTTCAAAATTTGGTGTTATGGCTTCCTTGATTGAGTCTATCTGCTTCCAGTGTAGTCTTCCTCTTTTTTTCTACTACCTTCCTCCTTACTCACCATTATTGATTTTTTTCCAGTGCGTTATATGTTGTCATGATACGACCAGATTGGCTGTGGTTTGATAATTTTCCAATGACTCACACAGCACACCTTTAACACCAGTTCAGTGCACCTAAAAGCCCACTCCCTTGCAACTTTGTCTTTACTCTTGTGGCTTGTTGTTGGATGCGTAAGAGTTGGCTGAAAGTAAGAGTATACTCACATGAGTAAGAATTGGCTGGAAGCAGTCAGGACCCTGGACAGCTCTCTGAGTACCAGAACCAAAGCAATACAAGGCAAATGGAGGGGTTGGGAGCTAGCTCAACTTGCAAGGTGCCTTCTGCCTTTCAGTCTCCTCAGAAATAAATGATGAAAGGATTGGGTTGTTGTAGGTTTTTTTGGGCTATATGGCCATAGTCTAGAGCCATTCTCTCCTGACGTTTCGCCTGCATCTATGGCAAGCATCCTCAAAGGTAGTGAGGTCTGTTAGAACTAGGAAAAAGGGTTTATATATTGTGGAATGACCAGGGTGAGACAAAGGACTCTTGTCTGCTGGAGCTAGGTGTGAATGTTTCAACTGACCACCTAGATTAGCATATAATGGCCTGACAGTGCCTGGAGCAAACCTTTGTTGAGAGTTGATTAGATGCCCTTGTTTGTTTCCTCTCTGTTGTTGTGCTGTTGCAATTTTAGAGTTTTTTAATACTGGTAACCAGATTTTGTTCATTTTCATGGTTTCTTCCTTTCTGTTGAAATTGTACACATGCTTGTGGATTTCAATGGCTTCTCTGTGTAGTCTGACATGGTGGTTGCGAGAGTGGTCCAGCATGTTTGTGTTCTCAAATAAAATGCTGTGTCCAGGCTGGTTCATCAGGTTCTCTGCTATGGCTGATTTCTCTGGTTGAAGTAGTGTGCAGTGCCTTTCATGTTCCTTGATTTGTGTCTGGGCAATGCTGCTGTGTTTGGTGGTCCCTCTGTAGACTTGTCCACAGCTGCATGGTATATGGTAGACTCCTGCAGAAGTGAGAGGATCCCTTTTGTCCTTTGCTGAACGGAGCATTTGTTGGATTTTCTTGGTGGGTCTGTAGATAGTTTGTATGTTGTGTTTCCTCATCAGCTTCCCTCTGCGGTCAGTGGTTCCCTTGATGTATGGCAAGAACACTTTTCCTCTGGGTGGATCTTTGTTTTGACTCTCGTGGCTTGTTCTCAGTCTTGCAGCTCTTCTGGTGTCTGAGGTGGAGTCTCCATGTAGAGCCCAGTTGAGGTGGTTCAGTTCATCTTGGAGGAGGTGGGGTTCGCAGATTCTTTTTGCACGGTCTGCCAAGGCTTTAATGGTGCTTCTTTTTTGACTTGGGTGATGGTTGCAGTTTTTATGTAGATATCTATCTGTGTTTGTGCGTTTTCTATAGACTGTGTGATCCAATTGTTGATCTGGTTTGCGGATAACTAGGACATCCAGAAAAGGCAGTCTTCCTTCATTTTCTTTTTCCATTGTGAATAGGATGTTTGGATGGATGCTGTTAAGATGGTCCAGGAACCTGTTGAGTTCTTCTTCTCCATGGCTCCAAATGGTGAAGGTGTCATCCACATATCTGAACCATATAGTGGGCTTTTTGGTTGCTGTTTCAAGGGCTTGTTTTTCAACGTGTTCCATGTAGAAAATGGGTCTGTAGATAGTTTGTATGTTGTGTTTCCTCATCATCTTCCCTCTGCGGTCAGTGGTTCCCTTGATGTATGGCAGGAACACTTTTCCTCTGGGTGGATCTTCGTCTTGACTCTCGTGGCTTCTTCTCGGTTGTCTTGCAGCTCTTCTGATGTCTGAGGTGGAGTCTCCATTGGCCTGTAAAGCCCAGTTGAGGTGGTTCAGTTCATCTTGGAGGAGGTGGGCTTCGCAGATTCTTTTTGCACGGTCTGCCAAGGCTTTAAGGATTGTTCATTTTTCCATGGGTACATGTTTTGGCAAGACCCTTCCTAATTTTGAGCATGTTGTGGCAACAGAAGGACACTTGCAAGTAGTTCTGTGGACCAAAGAATTGGGCCAACGCTGTTTCTTTGGGTGCAGAGGATGGGCAGCATCTAGATGGAATTGTGACCTCTGTTTTAGGGTGTGACACCATTCTGGCAATGTATCAGTGACAGCACAAGAGCTTGAAAGGTGGGAGGGAGGTTTCAGGAAGGTCTTCTTGAAAATCATAAGAACATTATGATGTCAACAGGCAATATTTCTAAAGGCATTCTGGGAATGATGAACTACTTGCTAGGTATGTGAGTAGCACCAGATAGTCTCCCGATCCCTGAAGGTCCTGCGATTAATCATACCCCGTGTGACTGCAGGGACCAGTTTCAAGTTGTGGAATTAAGGTGATAAATGGCTTCTGTTATTGTAGTCGTGTACACACATAGCTCATTCTCATTGCAACCATGTAGATGACCCATGGGGAAGATGTTATCTACTTGGGAAATCTTTAACAATTATGGAAGAGAGATTATCTCCAATTTTCTTCTTTCACATGCAGGTTAGACTACATCTGACCCATCATCGAAAATTAATACTCAAGTTTGTTGTCAATATACTTTATTTTTTTAAGAGGGATGGGATTTAAAATGTTTTTTCCCAGGGACGGCAGGAGGGCCAGCCAGCCACTCAAGTAAATGGTTCGGTTTAAGTCAGCATATTATTTTCTTTATTTAGAGGCATCGTCCTATCCATCTAAGCCTGCTTTTGTGAGTCATTCATTTGCATGGCAGAGATGTTGTACATTATAGAGAATGCTTAATCTTTGTGTTGTTGTTATTATTTATTTATGCAGAGATAAATAGTTGATTTGGGGATTCTAGTTGTTTAAAGCTTACTGCCTTTTCAGCTTCCGTTAATGCCACTTTTAGTGCACCACTGAAGTCCTGTATTAATTATAATAACAATTTTGCAGCACATAGAACAATGTGCATTAGTATAATGGAGATCAATTTTATATTTTCCAAAGGGAAAGATCCTTCTTCCTCTCCTGGGAAGTCCTGGGAACAACTCAGAAATCAGAACCTAATTCAAATATATTGTCGAAGGCTTTCATGGCCGGAATCACTGGGTTGTTGTAGGTTTTTTCGGGCTATATGACCATGTTCTAGAGGCATTTCTCCTGACGTTTCGCCTGCATCTATGGCAAGCATCCTCAAGGGTAGTGCTGGTCTTGACCTACAAAACCCTATACGACTCCGGCCCAGCGTACCTGTCCGAACGCATCTCCCTCTACGTCCCACCTCAGAGTTTCAGATCTTCTGGGGAGGCCCTGCTCTCGACCCCACCTCTATCACAGGTGAGATTGGTGGGGACGAGGAGCAGGGCCTTCTTGGTGGTGACCCCTCACCTGTAGAATTCACTCCCCGGGCAAATTAGGTCATTGACATCCCTCCTCTCTTTCAGAAGGAAAGTAAAAACATGGTTGTGGGACCAGGCTTTCGGGCAATCTGGCGGTTAGATAAGGACAATGATGATCAGAATCGATAGTACTTGACAATGTGGAATGAATTTACAGACTCTGAGATGGCGAACACTGAGCATTAGATTGTTTTTATTGATTTTGATGTATATACTGACTGTTTTTAATTGTTATAATTGCTGTTTACATGTTTTATCCATTGTTATGTTTATGCTGGCATCGAATTGTGCCTTTTGTAAGCCGCCCTGAATCCCCCCTCGGGGGTTGAGAAGGGCGGGGTAGAAATGCATGAAATAAATAAATAGTGAGGTTTGTTGGAACTAGGAAAAAGGGTTTATATATCTGTGGAATGACCAGGGTGGGACAAAGGACTCTTGTCTGCTGGAGCTAGGTGTGAATGTTTCAACTGACCACCTTGATTAGCATTTGATTGCCTGGCAGAGCCTGGAGCAATCTTTTGTTGTGAGGTGATTAGATGTCCTTGTTTGTTTCCTCTCTGTTGTTGTGCTGTTCTAATTTTAGAGGCACTGCCAGGCAATCAAATGCTAATCAAGGTGGTCAGTTGAAACATTCATACCTAGCTCCAGCAGACAAAAGTCCTTTGTCCCACCCTGGTCATTCCACAGATATATAAACCCTTTTTCCTAGTTCCAACAGACCTCACTACCTTTGAGGATGCATGCCATAGATGCAGGCAAGGAGAGAATGCCTCTAAAACATGGCTATATAGCCTGAAAAAACCTACAACAACCTAATTCAAATATATTTACCTCTTCCGTTTCACAGACTATTTTCCATGTCTTATTCCAACTCTTTTGTCACATCTTGCCTGATCAAGAGATCAGGTCATCGCAACATGTGTGCATTTGTGGTGCCCTTTTAGTTGGCATTTAGTGCAAAGGTATTAGGCTAATATGGCCTTCAGAATATTTCTTAAGACCAACCAAGCTATCTCTGCTTGTTACAACACACAAGCATTCATATAATAAGGTTTTTGGTCACTGAGTGAGGTTTTGAGCTGCTGCGAGTTTCTCTTTGTGAAGCTGCAGATTCCCATTACAGAGGGATGCCTTTGCCTTTCGTCATCTGCGCTTCTATCTTAGGTCTTTGGGGAAAGTTCAGCTGTAGAAAAATAAGCCACAAAACCTATTTCATCCCCTCTCCTGCCCGTTGAAGGCACCGCCAACCGAAAAAAAGAGGGATAAGCCCATTATGTTTCTTTTTAAGTCACTGCTGAGTATCAGAAACATAAATCACGGGTCTTTTTTCCACACCACTGTTATTTCCTTTGAATTGTGAATGGCAGATAAATGTTTCTTCTTTTTCACTTCTCTTTTCTTCCATTTCATCCTGCCTGCCTGCAATCAATTTTACTTTGTCTCCTTCCTGGCCGCCTTGTGCAGTGCCGACCGCACCGCCGCAGAACGTCCAAGCAGAAGCCGTCAACTCCACCACCATCCACTTCTTGTGGAACCCACCTCCCCAGCAATTCATCAATGGGATCAATCAGGGATACAAGGTTTGGATGCATGCTTTCTCAGTCATTTGCCATGTTAGAGCTCCCTTGTAGAATCATAGAGTTGGAAGGGACCGCATGGGCCATCTAGTCTAACCCCCTGCTATGCAGGGAAATGATGACCCACTTCTCCTCCAGAGGACAGCAGCAGAATTCAAAACGATCTTGACAAATTAGAGAGATGGGCCAAAACTAACAAAATGAAGTTCAACAATGACAAATGCAAGATACTCCACTTTGGCAGAAAAAACGAAATGCAAAGATACAGAATGGGGGCAATGCCTGGCTCGAGAGCAGAACGTGTGAAAAAGATCTTGGAGTCCTCATGGACAACAAGTTAAACATGAGCCAACAATGTGATGTGGCGGCAAAAAGCCAATGGGATTTTGGCCTGCATCAATAGGAGCATAGTGTCTAGATCTAGGGAAGTATTCTGCTTTGGTTAGACCACACCTGGAATATTATGTCCAATTCTGGGCACCACAATTCAAGAGAGATATTGACAAGCTGGAATGTGTCCAGAGGAGGGCGACTAAAATGATCAAGGGTCTGGAGAACAAGCCCTATGAGGAGCGGCTTAAGGAGCTGGGCATGTTTAGCCTGTAGAAGAGAAGGCTGAGAGGAGATATGATAGCCATGTATAAATATGTGAGAGGAAGCCACAGGGAGGAGGGAGCAAGCTTGTTTTCTGCTTCCCTGGAGACTAGGACGGAACAATGGCTTCAAACTACAAGAGAGGAGATTCCATCTGAACATGAGGAAGAACTTCCTGACTGTGAGAGCCGTTCAGCAGTGGAACTCTCTGCCCCGGAGTGTGGTGGAGGCTCCTTCTTTGGAAGCTTTTAAAGAGAGGCTGGATGGCCATCTGTCAAGGGTGATTTGAATGCAATATTCCTGCTTCTTGGCAGAATGGGGTTGGACTGGATGATGGCCCATGAGGTCTCTTCCAACTCTTTGATTCTATGATTCTATGATTCTGCATTATTTTCTGAATGGGCTTGGAAGCCCTCCTCCAGCCCCTAGACCTCCGCCATTAATACAATTCTGTAATTGAGGCTATGATTTGCATTTCATTGTTATCAGAATTACAGTGGTGCTTGTGGAGCAGGCTATGAGACAGAAGGCCCTTTCAGTTTCTTCTGGAAGGCTCAGTTGAGTCCTGCACAGATTTATTTATTTGTTTATTTACAGTTTTTATATTTCGCCCTTCTCACCCCGCAGGATTACAGTGTACACATATATGGCAAACATTCAATGCCAATTTTTGACATACAAACATATACAGACATACACAGAGGCTATTTAACTTTTTTTTTCTGGCCGCCAGGGGAGTTGTCGCTTTCATCGTCCATCTGCAACGCTGATGAAGCACTTCCGCATTCCCCGCATGCTTCCCCGCTGGAATGCTTTGCTGGAGTCTTCTTTATGGCCTCATAAATCAGTTAATTTAGCCTCTCCACACTTTTAAGGTGGTACCTAATTCTCCTACTTGACAGATGCAACTGTCCTTCGGGTTGCAAAAGTCAACAACAGGCTGCACACAATTGGTTGGAAACCCACTCCAACCCGGGCTGGCTTCGAACTCATGACCTTTTGGTCATTGTGATGTTTTGGTGCTAAATTAGTAAACACAGTAATTACTACATAACATTACCATGTATTGAATTGCTTTTTCTGTTGATTTGTCGTAAAACATAATGTTTTGGTGCTTAATTTGTAAAATCATAACATAATTTGACATTTAGTAGGCTTCTCCTTCATCTCTTATTATCCAACATTTTTGCTTATCCAACGTTCTGCTGGCCTGTTTATTATTATTATTATTATTATTATTATTATTATTATTAAACTTTATTTGTACCCCACTAGCATCTCCCGAAGGACTCGATGCAGCTTACAAAGGGCAAGGCCTCAATACACAACATAACAATACACCTAAAGCAAATTAAAACAATTAAAGCAATATTAAAACAACAAAACAACAAGCAATAAACAATACATCAAAACACAATAAAACTGAGCCAGGCCAGAGTAAAGGGTACAGGATTAAAAGTGCTGATGTGACAGGTGATATGTAAGGATTATGTTGGATGAGTGAGACTCTACTGTACCTCATACCCAGATATGGAGAAGAGATCTTTCAAAATTGAGTCTCCTGCAATAGAATGAAAATAATGGTGACATTTCATAGAGACGTTGTTCTGGTACAGCTGTACCAGGAGCTCCAATTTTCTTTGCTTTGCATTGAATGTTTGTTTGCAGTCCTAAGTTTCAGGGACTCTGCAGATAGGTGGCGTCTTTTGGCTGCAGTCATAGGGCAAGTCGCCTGTTCATCATCATTAAGTTTTGGTCCCGCCCCTTGTTCAGGGCAATTGGGAAGGGAGCCATTTTTTAGTTAGTCTCAGCTAGGTCAGCCAGTGTACAGGATGTGTGTAAACTTCTCCTGTACAAAAGCTTCAACCTTTAAGAATTTCCAGGGTTACAGAAATTCCAACAGAAACAGAAGGGAAAGAATTTCCAGGAAAACAGCCCTAAAGACTAAAGAACTCCAGCTGGAGAACATCTACTGCCTTGCTGGTAGGTCCACTCGGCGTTCGAGATGCAGTTCGACCTGGTAGCGGAGCCCACATCAGTGAGGGTTAGATCACAATCAGCCTGGGAGAAGTTAAAAAGGGGACTTTCCTTTAAAGTAAAGAAGAAGTTATTGAAGACAGTTGCCTGTCCTTCGTGGGCAAGATTAGGAATTCACCAGTTACCTAAAAGCTTGGAATTATTTGCTTAACTTTACTGAAGACAAGAGAAGTTTCTGTTTGATTGTTCATTAATAAAAAACTTTGTTGTACTTCTCAAGCCATCTAAAGACTGTTTGTGGTGAAAACCTCTGAGAACTTCTCCTTGGGCCCCCTGACTTCCCGCTGGGCAAAGGTTGCACGTCCTGTTTTAAAGGCAATTCTTTACAGGCCCAGTGCGCGACAGGACAGCCGTAAATCAGAGTTACAGTAGATCTGACAAAGGCCTCCGATAGTGGCTCCAAAATGGCCCAGCAATACCAAGTGAAGTCCACCTGAATAAAGGCTGAAAAACCAGTGTGTTAAATCATGGGTTTTGCTGCCTTTAAAAATAAGTTCAAATCTCACGTTTCCATTAGGCTAGTTTCTGGAGTTGTTTTTGTACCCATTTGTTGTTTAAACTGCACTTCCCTCAGAAAAAAATATCTAAAGTATTTCACGGGTTGATTCACACTTGTCAAGAGATAGTGATACCCTCGCCTGTAACTGTCAACATTTTTCCTTCACTTTTCTCTAATTCTTTTAGACCGAAACAGCTGTGCAGTTCATATTTCCCTTACAGATTCCTCCTCCCAAAAAAACCCTGTAATATAGATAGGGCAAGGAAGACATTTCTGTCACATCTTCTTGTACCACATAATTTTGTATAATGATTTATAAATTACCAGTAATCAAGATTTTGTGTTCCTGCTTGCCGAGCTCATTCCACCCGTGACATATTTTTCTGTGGCAAGTGCAGTCGGCTGCTTTTTATAGAACCGTTCGGCATGAAGCTCTTGGGAAGCGAGGAAACAGTTGTTGACATTTGGACGTTTCCATTGTGTTTCATTGATATAATTTAGAAAACAGAAGCAAGACTCTCTGGGTGCCATTATGGGATTGTTTCTTCTATTTTGAAATTCACTTGAATTCCAGCGAGTCTTTGAAGTACAATGTGACAGTTCTGTGAGAGGGAACAAGGGGTGTGTGTGTATGTGTGTGTTGGTGTGTGTATGGGAAAAGTCAGCTTTCTCTTGCGCTGCAAAGAAGCCAATTCTGGTTGCCTGGAGCTTGGGCACACTGGGTTGAAATATATGAATTTCAGATGCTTACTCCTGAAGATTTTCTATCCAGAAGTAGAGAAATGATTAGGTTCTTGTGGGGTTTTTCGGGCTATAGGGCCATGGTCTAGAGGATTCTCTCCTGACGTTTCGCCTGCATCTATGGCAAGCATCCTCAGAGGTAGTGAGGTCTGTTGGAATTAGGACAGTGGGTTTATATATCTGTGGAATGGCTGGGGTGGGGCAAAGAGCTCTTCTCTGCTGGAGCTAGGTGTGAATGTTTCAACTGACCACCTTCATTAGCACTTGAAGGCCTGGCTGAGCCTGTGGTAAAAAGGTGAACCCTTTTGCAAAGATTTTCCCAGGCTCAGCCAGGCCATCAAATGCTAATGAAGGTGGTCAGTTGAAACATTCACACCTAGCTCCAGCAGAGAAGAGCTCTTTGCCCCACCCCAGCCATTCCACAGATATATAAACCCATTGTCCTAATTCCAACAGACCTCACTACCTCTGAGGATGCTTGCCATAGATGCAGGCGAAATGTCAGGAGAAATGCCTCTAGAACATGGCCCTATAGCCCGAAAAAACCCACAAGAACCTAGTGATTCCAGCCATGAAAGCCTTCGACAATGCAGAGAAATGATTACCTTTTTAAAGAAAGTAAGACTTGGGCAGGTGTATGATTCAGGGTTCATGGTCCTCACTATTTTCCCAATTTATGGTCTTGAGCTCTTGAAAGCATAACATCAAGGCTGTGAGGGATCACATTTTTAAGTCAAATTTTATTTATTTATTATTTATTTATTTACAGCTTTTATATTCCGCCCTTCTCACCCCGCAGGGGACTCAGGGTGGATTACAGTGTACACATATATGGCAAACATTCAACGCCAAATTTTGACATACAAACATATACAGACATACACAGAGGCTATTTAACTTTTTCTGGCCGCCAGGGTTGCTGTCGCTTTCATCGTCCATCTGTGACGCTGATGAAGCACTTCCGCATTCCCCACATGCTTCCTCGCGGGAATTCTTTGTTGGAGTCTTCTTTATGGTCTCATAAATCAGTTAATTTAGCCTCCCCACACTTTAAGGTGGTAGCTTATTTTCCTACTTGACAGATGCAACTGTCTTTTGGGTTGCAAAGGTCGACAACAGGCTACACACAATTGGTTGGAAACCCACTCCAACCCGGGCTGGCTTCGAACTCATGACCTTTTTGGTCAGAGTGATCTTAATGCAGCTGACACCCAGCCGGCTGCGCCACAATCCCGGTGCTATTTGAAGGCAACCATGAGGTTGATGTGGCCCTGATGAAAACGAGTGTAACGTCCCTTCTTTGTTCATGATTTGGAACAACAAAGCATTCCCCTTCTCCTTTAAGGTTTCTGGGCTGACTCTTAGGGTCAGTTAGCACCAATTAACAGTGGTTAACCGCACTGAAGGGATCCCAGTTGGCTCTTCAGATAGCCTTGTGCCGTGAAAAGCAATCAGGCCAGCAAATTCTAATGGACCCTTCAACAACGTAGCTCACTCTTCTTGCCATTTGACATCAGCTCAAGTAGCAAAGGACATGCCAAGTACGTCAAATCCAGCTTTCAGGGAAGCGTGGTTTGAAGGAACTTGGCATCGCTTTCCTCCGGATAAGGTCAGCCCAAGACCTTGTGCTACCTGAGGCAAATCACAACGTGACAGGGATATGAACAAAGCCCAATTAGGCGACTGTCTGACTTCAGCACTGGTGACAGGACAGTGTTAACAGGACAACAGGCTACTTGGAACAGTCGAAAGCTCCATTTTTGCCAGGTGCCAGGTCAAGAAGGTGAGATGGGCATGGAGCTTGGGGATAATGACGAGGAAGGTGCCACCTCCGTTGTCATCTTTTGAAACAGCCCCCTCTCTCTGCCTTCCCCAAGTTCCCTTCGAGATTGATGGTGCAATGTCTGCTTGCCATCCCTTTTGTTCTGTAATGCCGTCCTGAATTTGTGGGGCTAATGTGGGCTCTTCTTCTCCTGATCTCTGTTTATTCATTCCCCTGTAAGCAAAGCCCTCCTCGGTTGCAGTTATGGGAATACGTCACAGTTATGTAAATTGCCAAATCTCGCTTTAAGCGCTATGTTAGCCACAGATTGTTCAAAAAAAGAGAAATCCCCGCACCACTTTCGAGACCTGCTTTTTAAAATTCCCTGCCTGTAGCTGGAACTAATAAGCAAGCCCTTTCAGCCAGCACAACAACAAGGTTAAATCTGTATATATAACCATATTGGTGACAATTCTGTTTTGGTTATATTTGGACTTTTGTAATTGAGCTTAAAATGTCCTGGCAGGTCTATGTGGTCGGGTTGTAAATGGGAACCGTCTCTAAAGTGCTTTCTTTTTAAAAATCAGCTCCTTTCTCTCCTGTTGCCTTTCTAGCTCCTGGCCTGGCCCGTTGATGCACCAGAAACTGTAACTACCGTCACTATCACTCCAGATTTTCATGGGGTTCACAGTGGCTATATATCCAACCTGAAGAAATTTACTAGTTATTACACATCAATCCTCTGCTTCACCACCCCAGGAGATGGACCACGAAGTCCACCACAGCTCCTCAGTACTCATGAAGACAGTAAGTATGGAATTGCCCGTGTCTGTATACACATTCTCTATTTATTTACTTATTTTGTATTGAAAGCATTGCATGAATTCATATAAAACTGATAAAAATAGAAGGAGCACAATTGGCTAAATATCTTTTGATGAAAATCAGGCAACAGAAACCACATTGTCTGTAGCCTCCAACAATTCTTCCTCTGTGCATGAGGCAGGACATTGCGGACAAGCATACAGATGCGGAGTTGGCTGTTCTGCTCCACAGTCGCACTAGATGAAGGATTATTTTAGGTAGTGCCATTTTGCCAGGTTGTCTTTTGATCTGCCCACTCCACTTCTTAGTCTGTTCAGGGACTTCCAAGTTGCCCATTCTTGGTTTGCCCCTGGAGGAAGACCCTCGCGGGGGGCCATCCAGTTGGGATTTCCTGGTTTAGCTGCCCACTGGGATGCCCTTGCTGATGCTGGGAGAACATTAGGAGGAGTGGAGGCTCTCATGAAGCTTTCCCTTGATTTGAGTCTACTGGGAGGCGTACCTGTCCAAATGTATCTCCTTCTATGTCCCACTTGGGAGCTTAAGATCTTCTGGGGAGGCCATCCAGTTGGGATTTCCTGGTTTAGCTGCCCACTGGGATGCCCTTGCTGATGCTGGGAGAACATTAGGAGGAGTGGAGGCTCTCATGAAGCTTTCCCTTGATTTGAGTCTACTGGGAGGCGTACCTGTCCAAACGTATCTCCTTCTATGTCCCACTTTGGAGCTTAAGATCTTCTGGGGAGGCCATCCAGTTGGGATTTCCTGGTTTAGCTGCCCACTGGGATGCCCTTGCTGATGCTGGGAGAACATTAGGAGGAGTGGAGGCTCTCATGAAGCTTTCCCTTGATTTGAGTCTACTGGGAGGCGTACCTGTCCAAACGTATCTCCTTCTATGTCCCACTTTGGAGCTTAAGATCTTCTGGGGAGGCCATCCAGTTGGGATTTCCTGGTTTAGCTGCCCACTGGGATGCCCTTGCTGATGCTGGGAGAACATTAGGAGGAGTGGAGGCTCTCATGAAGCTTTCCCTTGATTTGAGTCTACTGGGAGGCGTACCTGTCCAAATGTATCTCCTTCTATGTCCCACTTGGGAGCTTAAGATCTTCTGGGGAGGCCATCCAGTTGGGATTTCCTGGTTTAGCTGCCCACTGGGATGCCCTTGCTGATGCTGGGAGAACATTAGGAGGAGTGGAGGCTCTCATGAAGCTTTCCCTTGATTTGAGTCTACTGGGAGGCGTACCTGTCCAAACGTATCTCCTTCTATGTCCCACTTGGGAGCTTAAGATCTTCTGGGGAGGCCATCCAGTTGGGATTTCCTGGTTTAGCTGCCCACTGGGATGCCCTTGCTGATGCTGGGAGAACATTAGGAGGAGTGGAGGCTCTCATGAAGCTTTCCCTTGATTTGAGTCTACTGGGAGGCGTACCTGTCCAAACGTATCTCCTTCTATGTCCCACTTTGGAGCTTAAGATCTTCTGGGGAGGCCATCCAGTTGGGATTTCCTGGTTTAGCTGCCCACTGGGATGCCCTTGCTGATGCTGGGAGAACATTAGGAGGAGTGGAGGCTCTCATGAAGCTTTCCCTTGATTTGAGTCTACTGGGAGGCGTACCTGTCCAAATGTATCTCCTTCTATGTCCCACTTGGGAGCTTAAGATCTTCTGGGGAGGCCATCCAGTTGGGATTTCCTGGTTTAGCTGCCCACTGAGATGCCCTTGCTGATGCTGGGAGAACATTAGGAAGAGTGGAGGCTCTCATGAAGCTTTCCCTTGATTTGAGTCTACTGGGAGGCGTACCTGTCCTAATGTATCTCCTTCTATATCCCACTTTGGAGCTTAAGATCTTCTGGGGAGGCCATCCAATTGTGATTTAGCTGCCCACCGGGATGCTTTTGCTGATGCTGGGAGAACATTAGGAGGAATGGAGGCTCTCATGAAGCTTTCCCTTGATTTGAGTCTACTGGGAGGCGTACCTGTCCAAACATATCTTCTATGTCCCACCTCGGAGCTTAAGATCTTCTGGGGAGGCCCTGCTCTCGGCCCCGCCTCTATCACAAGTGAGGCTGGTGGGGACGAGGAACAGGGCCTTCTCAGTGGTGGCCCTTCGCCTGTGGAACTCACTCCCCGGGGAAATTAGGTCAACATCCCTCCTCTCCTTCAGAAGGAAGCTGAAAACATGGGTATGGGACCAGACCTTTGGGTAATCTGGCAGAGTGACAAGGTAATGACGACCAGAATTTGGAAAGGACTATGGTAATGCTGAATGGACTAGATTGGCTTTTAGTTGTTATTATATTAATTGAATGTTTTAACTTGTGGTTATTGTTGTTATGTATTTCATCTGTTGAACTGTTGGCATCGAATTGTGCCGGTTGTAAACTGCCCTGAGTCCCCCCTTGGGGGTTGAGAAGGGCGGGGTAGAAGTGCCTGAAATAAATAAATAAATGGTAGCCATGCAGTGGATGGCTTTCACAGTGTTCAACCTTATTTTGCTCACAGTTAGCAGCAACTTCCCATCACACATTGAGATGGGGGTGGGGGCAATGCCAGCTAGTTTGTAGAGCTTTATCAACAGGTGTAGGTTTAAGACATCCTGTGATTATTCTGCATGTTTCATTCAATGCTATGTTCACCTGCTTTGCATGGGCACACTTGTGCCAAACAGGGCAGGCATACTCGGCAGTTGAGTCAGACAAGGCCAGGGCTGATGTTCTTACTAATTTTGGGTCTGCACCCCATGTACTGCCAGTAAGTGACCACAGGATGTTATTGCATGCAGCTACTTCATGCTTGGTGTTCATGCATTGTTTCTGATATGTTAGTGTTCTATCTAAGGTGACACCGAGATACATTCTCAATGAATCCTAGTCTTGGAGGGAGCATTGCAGGCAAGTAGTATACCTTATTCCTCACAGCATCTCCAGCCATTGGTTATACATCTTCTGGTTGAATATCTATAATGGGAAAGAGACCAACTCACCTTACTCCTTGAACAATCTTACTCCATCCATGTTCAACGTCTACACAAATGGCCAGCCACTGCCAGAAGGGACAGAGAGCTTCCTCTATGCTGATGATTGTGCCATTACTTCTCAAGCAGGGAGCTTTGAGATGGTAGAACAGAAGCTCTCCGAAGCTCTAGGTGCTCTTACTGCCTATTACAGGGAAAACCAGCTGATCTCTAATCCATCTAAAACACAGACATGTGCTTTTCACCTTAAGAACAGACAAGCATCCCGAGCTCTGAGGATCACCTGGGAAGGAATCCCACTGGAGCATTGCAGCACACCCAAATACCTGGGAGTCACTCTGGACCATGATCTGACCTACAAGAAGCACTGCCTGAATATCAAGCACAAAGTGGGTGCTAGAAACAATATCATACGAAAGCTGACTGGCACAACCTGGGGATCACAACCAGACACAGTGAAGACATCTGCCCTTGCACTATGCTACTCTGCTGCTGAGTATGCATGCCCAGTGTGGAACACATCTCACCACACTAAAACAGTGGATGTGGCTCTTAATGAGACATGCCGCATTATCACAGGGTGTCTGTGCCCTACACCACTGGAGAAATTACACTGCTTAGCCGGTATTGCACCACCTGACATCCGCCAATAGTGAAAGGACCAAGGCAGAGACATCTCCAGCTCATCCCGTTTGGGCATCAGCCAGCACGTCAACGACTTAAATCTAGAAATAGTTTTCTAAGCTCTACAGAGACACTCACTGGAACACCCCAGCAAGCGAGAGTTCAAAAGTGGCAGGCTCAAACCCAGAGCCTCAATCAATGGCTGATACCAAATGAGAGACTCCCCCCTGGGCACACAGAAGACTGGGCGACTTGGAAGACGCTGAACAGACTGCGCTCTGGCACCACGAGATGCAGAGCCAACCTCAAGAAATGGGGCCACAAAGTGGAATCCACGACATGCGAGTGTGGAGAAGAGCAAACCACTGACCACCTGCTGCAATGCAACCTGAGCCCTGCCACATGCACAATGGAGGACCTTCTTGCAGCAACACCAGAGGCACTCCAAGTGGCCAGATACTGGTCAAAGGACATTTAATCAACTACCAAACTTGCAAATTTTGTGTTTTGTCTGTTTGTTTGTTCTGTCAAAAATGTAATACAACTGTTTGGTTGCCTGACACGATAAATACAAATAAAATAACCTTACTCCTTCATAATTGACCCATCATTGAATTTCTCTTAATTTTCAACCAAAAATAGGCTCTGATTCTAACTTCTGGAGCAACAGAATACAGGATTTTGCTGCTCCATGTAAGAGCTTTTTAGGTGTAAGAAGAATGTGTTTCCAAATCCATCCATCTTTCCTCATAGAAGTTTTTCTCTCCCATTAACCATCCCTTTGCCCTTCTCCCAAGCTGTTTTATGTTTTTACCAGATACTTGACCTGCAATGAACAAAGTTTATGTAACCCCAAATGGCCTTCCTAATTAGGCTGAAACCATTCATGAAATCGATTAACCAAGCAGAGAACCACAGCAGACTAAAATGTGCCTTTTCCGTAGGAGTTACTCTCTGTTGGAAGGGTATTCAGTGCATAGTTATAAATAATTTCCAGTCCTCCCTTGGGGAAATTATGTTGTTTGTCTAATTGAACCACAGTAAGTGGTTGCATTCCTTGAATTGCTTCTAAAGACTCAACTGTTATTAAATTACTGCATTATTTCCATTAATTGGCTAATTAATTGTTAAATCTAAGTTACTTTGCACAATGAAACAAACAGGAGTTTTGTGTTTGTTCGCTATATGCCCTCCGAGTGAGATGCCATTATTTGACAAGGGAATATCTGTATATGGAAACATATGTTTAACATGCACTTAGAAGACATGATTGTCCATGGTTTCTGAACATAGGTTTTCTATTTCTTTTGAAATCTTCATCCTCCATTCAGATATTATGATGTTAACCTTATGGATTGTAATTCACTCAAGGCATACATATTTACAGTAACCATGTA